CTACACCTTATCTCAGATTCTCCAGCATCTGCAGTTCCCACTATCTCAGAATGAAATTCTAACATCTTTGTCTTTTGCTGTGTTGTACCAAGAAGTGAGAATTTTTTATTTGCTGCCCTGAGAAAAGCAGCTGTGATCTGACTTGTGTAATTGAAGATGGAGGGTTGCCTGAGATTTATCAGATCACTTGTAATGGTGTGAAGGACCCAGCATCAGGTGAGAATAGCTGCCTGCACACTAACAGATGAGACTGCTCATTTCAGCATATGCCATTGTAAAGAGTTTTTAACTATTTTCTGAGTGCATGGTTCATTTCTGTCAACAACGTAAGTTTTTGGAGACTTGCATTTAAACTGAAAGCAGATATTTCTGTTTAAAAATGCATGCATATATATTCTTATCCTAGCTGCTCTATGCCAGCTTAATGTATCAACATTAACAGTGTCTACAATTTGAAGACAGAACATTGCAGGTGTGGGGACTATTTGCCTAATGTCTTGCTTAATGCATTAATGTGGCAGGAGATAGACATTTGAAAAATTGCTGTCTAAAGCACAGATGAAACAAAGTACATCCATATCAACATGCAAAACAATATTAATATTTAAGCACATTTTAAAATATGCCTTGGAAAGGTAAACATTGGCCACTTTTGCTAATGGAAAATGACCCCAAGTTATTGAAAAACTTGGGATTTATTTCTGTGGATATGACAATCAAAAGTGATGTTAAAATTGTTTCAGACTCTGGTATTATATTGTGTGCATAAATCAAGTCTCCACATTAGAAAAAGACTAGAGAAAGTGAAAAAAGTACTTACAAGAATTGTGCCAGACTGTTGACCAGATTTTTCTTCAGAAACAGGTATACAGGTGAGGAATTTCCTGTCAAGCTGTGAGAGCATACCCCTGATGAGCTGAGTCCATTAGTCATTCACGGTTCATTCTCAATACGTAAGCATCTGTGTACGTTCATGCACACAATGTACTAATATCTCACAGCAGATCTTGGACTCCAATTGTCTTGGGATGCCATTAGAACAAGGCCCTACTCTGAAAGTCTTGGTAGTAGGCTTTTAATTATCACCCCACATGTAAAAAAGGATATGAACATGAATCAAAATCAGTGCTAGGACCTGAAATATCAAATTAGATAAATTGACAAGTAGACAAGTGGTCCATCATCCTGGCTCCCAGGAAGCAGAGACAACAGAAGCAATGCCAAAAAAGAAAAATAATGCCTAAGACCTCAAAGATCTCAGCAGTCCTCAGACAGTGTCTCATTACCAACCTCTCAACCTGCAATCGTCAAGAGTTACAGTACCCCATAATTCCTCGTTGACCCCAAGGTCAACCATAACAAATCCATGGTAACTTTATCATAGTTTCTTCAGTGCTGTCAAGATGCTGTACAGTCCAAAGGTCTACCCTGTTCAGAACCAAATGTGGAGTAAGCAATGACAAGGAGTTGGTCAGTGCCTGCTAAAACAAAGATATTGAAAAACCATTCAACTGATAGTCTGTCTTTAACTCCACCATCCTCAACTCAATTCCACGTTATTCCATCCAGCATAGTCTTAGTGCTACCCCAGTCCAAAGAAAATTAAAAAGCCATTTTACAGCTGAAAAATTAACAAATCCCTGGAACAGATGGAATCCTTGCTGAATTCTGAAACACAGTTGAGATCCAATCCTGGAACGGCTAAGCAATTTCCTCTCTCTTATCTGGAAAGAGGAGCATATACTTGGGATCTTAGCAATACTGAGATCATGACTATATAGAAGACAAGTGCAATTGAGATACTGAAAAATTACTCTGTTGCCTGGGACAGGAAAGATCATTGCAAGCGTCCTCCTCAATCCCCTACTCAAAGTAGCCAAGGAATTCCTCCAAAAGGGACAGTATATTTTTGCCCATGACAGACCACAGACATGATCTTCACTGCATGGAGAATCCAAACAAGTGCAAGGAACAGCAGTAAGCATTTTCCAGAAATTTCAGTTCCGCTTTTGGACACAAATTTCAATCTTGTTAACCCAACCTCAGAAATTATGAGCATGGAGAAACCCAAGTGTCAAGTATGCAATCAATAACAATGAGGCATTCAATATTCCCTTTAAAAAAACAGTCTTAATTTCTGTTAAGGTTTTCTCAAAGTAGGAATAGAATAAGCTCAATATTTGCACGTTTTGCTTCATGGAGGCAACTTTAAGTTGAAGTGCCTTCACTCCTGTGTCATTTAGATGACGTAGGCCTCTGAAACAATTAGTGTGTAAATTAGGCCAACTTGTGAACTCATTTATTAGCAAAGTTATCCTTTTGGAGAGATTACATACCCCTTTGCATTTGGTCCTGGGGCACCTTTGAGGTGGTAAGACATATGTTGGGAAGTGACCATGTCTTCTTTGTGACTGAAAGGTAGATAGCTTGTGCTACAGTCTGTGCAAACTCATCGGAATGGTCAAGCTGTCAAAGAACTTTTAAACTGACAGAATGCCAAGACTTTCCCCACTAATGCCCCACCATCACCCACCCTCCCTGCCCTCAATAATAAGCATCCTTTTCAAGTCGTCCTAGCTTACCCACCCCAATACCTAATCCAATCTGTCCGAAATTGAAAATAAGATTGGGCAGCTGTTTGTAAAGGTAGGAGCTGGGATTTCACACATCTCTGCACACCTAGGTCAAATGAATTGAGGCATTTTTCTTTATAACAATGGTGAAGAATGCTAAAACCATACAACATAGGAACAAAGGTAGGCCATTCAGCCTATTGTATATGCTTCAGAATTTAATGAACTCATGGCTGATCAACTTCACTTTCCTCCCTTTTCCCCATAACCCTTGGTTCCCTTACTGATTAAAAACATCTATCTCAGCCTTGAATATACTGAGTGAACCTCAAAACCCCTCTGTGGTGAAAGGATTGCACAGATTTACAGCCTTCAGAGAAGAAATTCCTCCTCATCTGTCTTAAATATGTGGCCCCTTTTTCTAAGATTCTGCTCTCTTTCCACATCCGAGGCTGGAAGCAGACAATTAATCTGAACACGACATGAAAATGCAAGTGACCTTTTGAAGCACTCCTGAGGATTCTTTAAGGAGGGAAACAGAGTTCCTAGGTCAAATAGTATGGCAATCAATATTTTAGTGATTTGATCACAAATTTATCAATTGAAGCAGTGGTTATAGTTGCAGAGTACAAATCATAAGGAACACATTGGTGAACAGAGCTTAAGATATGTTACAATAAAAGAAAAACAACATGAAGTAAAGTGTGTTTTTTTTTTCATGAAGTAGATGATCTTTTGAAAAAACATTTCATGTATGTTTAAAATTCCACTGATAGGTAATCATTTCATAACTACTGATTGGGTCTGGCAATTTAAGAAGGGTGGTATTGTAACATGAGCAACATTTAGAACAACTGCTCTTAAACAGAAACAGATTGTGGGACATAGTTCTGCCGAAAAAAGCTGACAATATTTCACTGCAAAGTGCTCTTCTGGTTTTTACACAATTGTTAGATGCAGGAGCGTGTTATAAATCATTAATTCAACTCAGATTGGAGGAAAACAGTGCTTTGGATATCACTCATGTCTGACAATTCAAATTGCCAAAAAAAATAGGCATCTAATTATAAAGCTAAATTCTGGAGAGGGTATAGAATGTACATATTTTGGTCAGATCTTTTAACGCATTGCAAACATTTAGCAACCAGGGCATTGCAGATTGAACTGCAGATGATGGTGGGATTTTGGATAATTATAAGGCTGAGCCTTGTCACAGTGGCTATCAATTTGTCCTTTACAGGTAGTTAATACTGGAAAGGCAGGTTGGACCAGCAGGAAGTGTACAATTTTCCACAATCCTTCACTTCTCTTGCTCGAATGACATATACTTCTGTTGTTTGCTAATTGGCCAATTTCATAAGTATATGGAGGGTGCTGAGATAAGAAACACTCAGCACAGCCTTTTTTCATGGCTGTTTTATTATTGTATTGTAATCGCGTCTGCCCTTGTTACTTATTAATGTCAAGATGCTGAATGTTAAAGTGGAATGTTTGCAGTAGACGTGGGCAAATAGGTTTCTTTCACCAATTGTACAGATGCAGATATCACTGAAAAGAAATCATCCACATCTTTAGCATAACGCGGATGTAACCCTTTCAGATGTAATGATATTATAAAACATGTCAGAAGTTTCATTCATATTTTAATTGCTGTATAATTTAATGCATAATAATTTAATTAGTTCAATTATATTGAACGTGTATCATTCAATTCTCCCAGATTCAGATGAATAACAGCAGTGTACAAAATTGTCCTAATTTTTTTTTAAAATCGCTCGGTACATTCCATGAAAGCATCCTTAATCAAGGCATTGCAGGTGGTTCTTCTGAAATGGAGAATGAAATTAACTAATCATAGAAAAACAAGGAGGCTTATATTGTATTTGCTTCATGACTTATCAAGCCAAGAAATCCATAATACTACTTATGTCATTATATCAGCAACTATTCGGCCTGCAGCCTCTTCCTAAAATCATTACACAAGGATCAAACTGGTTGAAGAAAACTTAAGATGGACAATAGTTGCCATCTCTTACCCCATTAAGATTTACTTTAAATTCTATGCTTTCTTATAATAATTACAGTTTTATTCTTGTGTGATCATAAGCCTAGATGAGAATTTAAGTGATTACTGGCCAGTTTAAAGGTCAGGTTCTTTGAAATGAATAATAGGCAAGAAAGGACATGGAGATGCAGCCTTATATTATTTGTAGCATTTTAACTAGATCAACACACACATTACAGGTGTAAGTTTAAATTAAAGTGACAGTATTTGGCAATGGAGTGGATTGATTGATTTTGGTATATGTAGTTTCATTTTCTGAGAGCATAGAACTTGAGTGAAGTACAGCTTAAGGCAAACAGCAATTAAAGGAGCTAAAAACAATTTGAACAAAAGACTGAGCATTGGCTTACAATACTCCACAATAATAGTATTAAAGCTTTTTCTATAAAAAGTTGTTGCATATAGTGTTGTAGAATAATCTTACTGTATAACACAAATATACCCAAGATCATCAAGTCCTTCTCACTCAAGCATACATATAAATCCTGCAATGCAACTCATCAAAACCTTAACCAGAAACATTAATCTGAAAACAGCTTCTGGATGGTGGTGGTTAGAGAAAGTGCCATTGCATGAATGAAATCCTGATGTCAAGTCAGTAGGTCAACGATGTGATAAATTTAGACTTTAGTGTTTGGCATTTCCAAGCTGCACAGCAAGCATGATTTTAAAAAAAGGTATGGGATGTAGGTATCACTGGTAATGCCATCTCTTACCTGTTCTTTTAAAAGATTGGGACTTATATTTTAAATTACCAGTCACTAAAAGTTAAATGCAGATGCAACAGTCCATTAGGAACAAAAATGTATTTTGGCCTTTATCACAAGATATTTAATTATGAAGTAAAGAGATTTTACTTAAAGTTGTATAACATTTGTGTGAAGGGCTTTTGTAACAGCAATAGTATCCCTACCTCGAGGGCAGGAGGCCTGGGTTCAAGCCCCATCTGCTCCAAACGTGTGGAATAACATCTCTGAACAGGTTGATTTGAAAATATTTAAAAAAAAAAAAACTTTGGCTTGACCATATCTGAAGTAGTAGATCTGATGACCAAAACAGCGCACAGTGAAAAGGTGATAAATACCAGACAGAATGTAGTAGATGTTCACTAGATTAATTCTTGGCATAGTAGAGCCATCCTATGAAGAGATCGGTATTAACTCGAGTTTGGATTAAGAGTTAATCTCATTTAAAACAATTATTAATGTGGTGGAAACAAAAAGGAAGTTTTCCCTGGCTGAGGCCTAGAACCAAAAGAGACATATTCTGAAACTAAGGAGCAAGTTGTTTAAGACTGAGACAGGGAATTTATTTTTCAGAGGGTACTGAATCTTTGGAATTCTCGACAGAGGTGGCTGTGGAACTTCAGTCATTGACTACATTCAAGAGAAATGCCAATAGATTTAGAGACAAGGGCTGAATGACTTCCTACATTAAATGCTTTAACTGCATCAAGAGGAGAAATAGTACCTTTGTTCATTCACCTACATCTCAGTTTAAGACCCCAGTCCCTTCAGTCTGTACTACATTACACCACTACTTACACCCACCTTTAGAAGTAGACGGTCTGAATTTCTTTTGCACTGATCACTTCATGTATCAATCCAGTAAAACCAAGCATCCCAATCCGCATGCAATATCACAATATCTGTGAAACCAAAGTCACTGAATGCATTATATCCATTAAGTGAACATTTTACTTTCACCAACCTACAGGTCTCTTGCCCAGAGGCTACCTTCACATGTTGGACAGAATTTGTCTTTTGCTCACCCCTTAATTGTAGCAACAAATAACTAACTATCTGTAACAATTAAAGACAAGCTTTAGGCACTTAGGCAACCCAAACACCCTACCTTTAAATCTGGAACTGGGCATGTTGGCTGTATACACCAAAAGATGATCTGTATTTTTATTTTGTGCTTGCTTTCAAAAATTCTAGGGCAGCATTTTAGAGAGACCTTTCCTTCTAGCTAAATCATTCATCATGAAACTGATACCCTACTGTGTGAGAGCTACCTATATTTATACAATCAATTCACAACCAATTGAACCTTAATTAATATGCCCACCACCTGTCTCTTTTTCCATTAGATCGCAGACATCTCTTCAGACCATAGTAGATGATAACTGATTCCATTTTTTAGTAAATCTATAAATAAAACCATCAAAGCAAATTATTAATAATGACAACATTATATATTGCAATATAAATGAAAACCGAAAGAACTGCAGATGCTGTAAATCAGGAACAAAAATAGAAGTTGCTGGAAAAGCTCAGCAGGTTTGGCAGCATCTGTGATAAAAAAAAATCCGAGTTAATGTTTTGGGTCTGGTGACCCTTCCTCAGAACTGATGGTAGCTTGGAAAATGTTGGTTTATATCCAGAAAATAGGGAAGGGGATGGCGTGGGGAGTAAACAATAGAATTTACAGCATCCACATTTCTTTTGTTTTTAATTAGTATTTAACTCAATGCCACTTTTCTTCCAGGTATGCCCACCTTGAAGAAGTTCTGCTCCTCTCTCCAACGGGATTTCCGTTGCAATCTTTCTTCTTGTCCACCGACATTAATTTCACTGTCAGTCCTTGCATTTGATCCTATCGTTTACGCCCCACCCCATCGCCCTCCCTATTTTCCGCATATAAATTGATGTTTTCCCAGCTACCATCAGTTCTGAGGAAGGATCACTGGACCTAAAACGTTAAGTTTGACTTTTTCTTCAAATAATATATTGCAATTTTGATCTTCAGTTTGTTTATCATTTACACATTTGTTGTATCTCTGTTATCCCATGGTAACTTAGTATCGATGGAGCACTTAATAGCATTGCTTCTGAATCCCATTTTAGAATTACTTCCAATATTTCCACTAAGAATAACACTATACATACAGCATCATCAAGAGTATGAGATTTTTTTAATTACTTTTCTGAACTTTTCAGCTTCCCAAGCTAAAGGGCAACATTTACCTCAGAAGAAAAATTACAAACTCTTCCTCACTTGAGAACCCATCTCAAAGACTTACATATGAAGCATCTCTAAAAATAAGTATTATATTCCTGACATCTCCCAATGAGGGAAAATTTCAAAACACAATGCTTTATTGAAATTTTTTTTCAATTTTTTTATTCACCCAAACAATTTTCTCCATCTTGGGATTTTCAGAGTTAGACTCACCTCTAATAGTTCAAATCTGACATCTGGCCCTAATTGGGTGCCCAACCAATTCAGCTCCCATACTATTATAAAGCAGAGGTTGACCCCTCTCTGAGAGCTAAAACTAAATTATCCAGAGAGTAGTGCCTCACCCTATAATCTGTTAACAGAAGTGTGAAAAGTGGTGTAACCTGCTTTTCTGCAACTTCTAGTGGTTAAACAAAATAAACCTCTGACACTCAATTTACAATCAACAAGTAACAATTTATTCATCTAACTCTAACAGTGAGCAAGCTAAATTATTAACAAACCAAATAAACCCCTTCTAATGACTAACTATTCCCAAATAAAACAAAATTTTAATGGTACGCGTTTCCAATATATACAAATGTCACATGTATAAAATTTTTAAAAATGAGCCTCTCGAAATTACAGCCAGGTTACCTGTCATCTGGAATGTTCTGTGCCTCTCTGTCGAATGTTCTGTCAGGAATAATAACTAGTTGTGCTGTAGGTACCTTTGATTTAGATGGTGCTTTCTCAACAACCTAGAGAAAACTGTGAGAGTCAGCAATTCTCTCTTGTGAGCAGAAGAGCTGTAAGTCCAGCAGAAGGCAGTTAATTTTCCTGATTTTATTTTCCCCAACTCCTCTCCTTTGATACCCCTGATGTCATATCAATTTCTTACACTAGGATTGGTCTTATGTTGTCAAAACCATCAGATTTAATTTTAATTGGTTTTAGTCTTTAAGTGCCTGATTCAAATGGATTGACTAAATATCAAAACTTATTGTCTTGACAACAAAACAAAACTGCTGCTTGGACTGCTAAGTGTATGGATTTTTGACATAAAAGTTTCAATTTGAATGCTTTCTGTGTGCCTGCAAACCCAAAATTTGCTGCCCACAGGCATATTGTTTAAATCTCTAAGCATAAAAAATGCACATCGTCTTTTAAAGGGACCACACACTGATTTCCTCCCAGCATTTTACAAACACCAAATTCTAACTTCCTGCCTTCCAATCCAGAAGTACTCTACCCAACTTCGCAATACCTCACCCCTTAGGATAAAATAAACCATCATTATGAAAAGATGTTTTCATTTATTTTTGTCTTTTAAAACTTTAATTCCATTATATTACTATATTCATAACTCATTAATCTAAAGTTACACAAATTTTATACAAATTCTATATATGTATCTATCCAACATTGAACACTACCATTTCTATCTTATAGAAACATTTTCTGTTAAATCCACAATAAAGCATCCATGATAATATTTTCATGACCCACAACATGTACAGTCTATAAATTAAATGCTTGTAACATAAGACTCCAACAAAATAATCTGGTGTCTTTGTCCTTAAATATTTCCAGAGATGTTAAAGGATTGTGATTGATGTACACAGTCAACTCTGATGCATTGTTTGCAATGTAGATATTAAGATATTCTAAGGCCATTACCAAACTCAATAATTAATTTTAAATGGTTGAATATTTTTTTCTGGTGGATATTGAGTTTGTTTGAAAAATAACCAATTGGCCTTTCAATTCCACAATCTTCTTCCTGTGGCAAAACAGCTCCAACATCTACATTGCTTGAGTCCATGGTGACTTTGAAGGGTTTCAAGAAATTTGGCATGGCTAAAACTGGTGGGGTGGTTAACACTGCTTATAGATTCTGAAATACCTCTACTGAAATTTTGTGTTCTTTTTTAACATATCCATCAACAGTGCCACTATGCTACTAAAGTTTGGCACAAATTTCCTGTAGAATCCGCTCAATCCTAAAAATCATAGGACTTCTTTCTTCAAGGATGGTCTTAGAAATTCCTCAACGGTCTTCATCTTCACATTCCTCAGTGTCATCTGACTGTGTCTGATGTTGTGCCCTAAGAACATCCCTACCGCCTTCGCGAATTCTGTTTTTACCAAGTTTATGACTAACTTTGCTTTCCATAGTTTCCCAAAGAGCTCTGCCAAATGCTCCATGTGATCTTTCCACGAATGGCGAAAGATCACTAAGTCACCTATATGTAGACAGCACAATTAGTCAATCTTGCAACAACTCTGTTCATAAGTATTTGAAATGTGGCTGGTGCATTTTTCTTCCCAAACAGCTTTACTTTAAATTGATACAGCCCATTTGGGTTTACAAAAGCAGAAGCTTCTTTCATTTTCTCCGACAAAGGTACTTGCCAGTAACTGTGAAGTAAGTCCAACTTTGTGATGTAAGTTGCTTGTCCTACTTTTTCCACACAGTCTTCCAGCCTTGGAATTGTGTATGAGTCACACTTGATCACGGCGTTGACCTTCTGATAATCTACACAGAATGATTGAGTACCATCACAGTTGGGAACCAAGACAATCGGTGAACCCCACTCATTTTGACTCAGCTCTATGATGTCTTCTTGGAGCATCTTCCTTCTGTACCTGCACTGCTTTGAGAGGATTAAGCCAGTAGGGTTGTTGTTTTATCAGAACAGCAGTCTCTATGTCAACCATAAGTACTAGGCTATGAGTCGTCCCCATTTTATTTCTACATACTTCCTCAGAGCACTTTAACAAATCTTTCAATTCAGTTCTCTGTTACTGGATCAGATAGCTCACTTCCCTATCTCCTTCTTTAAGGACTGCCTCATTATTCAATTTACACTGAGGCACATCAAAATCCAAATCATTTGGATTTGATTCCTCACTCTGAGTGGACACTAATTAATACCTATTTCTCCAGTTCCTTTTCCTGTCATAGAAAGGTTTCAGCATGGTCACATTGACATACCCAACAATTATTTTTCCTGTCTGGCATCTTTACTAGATAATTCACCTGACTTAACTTCTTCTGAATCTGATTGGGACTACAAAATATTGCTTTGAAGGGATCTCCTACCACTCGTAATAGCTCCAATACTTTATCCCCATGGACAAATGTATGAATTTTACATTTCTTATCTGCTTTTTGCTTCATTATGGGCTGTGCCGCCTTCAAATGTTGTCTAGCTAATTCACCTACTCTGTTTAATCTTTCTCTCACCTTAGATACATAACCCAACTGTGAGATCTCTGACTTCGGACCTATCAATTTTTCCTTAATTAATTTTAAATGCCCTCTTACTTCGTGTCCAAATATCTATTCAAATGGAGTAAACTGAGTTGATTCATTTGGAGCATCTCAAATAGCAAATACTATAAATGGATATCTTTATCGCAAGCATTTAGGTAATCCTGGCAATAGGCCCTCAGCATTGTCTTTAGTGTCTGATGCTATCTTTCCAATGCTCCCTGGGATTCAGGATGGTACGCACTTGATTTAAAGTGTTTGATGCCTAAACTATCCATGAACTCCTAAAATAGTTTGGCAGTAAAATTGGACCCTTGGTCTGACTGAATCTCCTTGGTTAGTCCAAAATGGGTAAAGAAAGCAAACAACTCTTCCATAATCTTCTTTGCCTTGACATTCCATCATGGGATTGCCTCCTGCAACCTGGTAGACACATCCATTATGATTAGCAAATACTGGTTCCTACTTTTGGTTTTAGGGAAGGGACCTGCACAATCAATCATAACCCGCATGAAAGGTTCTTCAAATGTGGGAATTGGCATCAGAGGCACTGGTTTTATTACTGCTTGTGGCTTTTTTACTATGTGGTACATATGACAGGTACAGCAAAATTCAATCACATCTTTATGTAATCCAGGCCAATAGAAATGCTTCTGTATCTTAGCCTGAGTCTTCCTCACTCCTAGATGATCTCCTCCAGGTAATTTGTGTGCTACCCACAATACTTCCTGTCTGTATTCTACCAGCAATAAGATCTAGT